TCAGATGTTTCATTGCTGTGACATCCTAAACAGTTCTCCAGTCTCTCTATTTCTTTTCAAAGTGTCTCATTTCTCAATGACCCTTTTTCTCATACTGTCCTTGGGGAAGGAAAGACTTGAAAATGCATTTCACACATCAGACTAAATTAATGCAAGACCTTCGTCTACTTTGACCCAGTTACCGTGACACTTCTTTAACCTGGCCTGCCTCACGGTTATCTGCAGATGTTTAATATTCGATGTCTGTGTGGTCAGAAGGACCAAGGTGAACCTCAGAACTGCTGAGGCTGACAAGTGTTATAAAAGAAGCGGTTAATGTTTCATCCCTGCGTTTTTGCATGATAATTTTCTGCATGGAAATTTTAAAGCAGAACTAAAAATAATGAATCCTTTCTGAGACGTCTCCTTTTTCAATGCAAACCCCAGCTCATTTCAACAAAATGTTGCAGTTCACTGTCTCCTAATTATAGTCTTTCTCTCAGTATTACCTCCAATTACAGCACGACACCTCCTCTTCTAATGTCCCTTGCTGTGTCAACCTGATCAACACGCTTTCTACGCCAAATTACACCCACCATCCAACCAATTTATATTTAGTAAATGAAGACATTTCAGCATATTTATTTGTTTATTTACTTATCGGTTTGACAGCCTCCCCAAATAATGATTTTACAGAAATGTCCTCTAAAACTGGTATTTATGCAGCAAAGGCACAGCAATATGAGCTAATGGGCCGTGTCGGTGGTATATAGGGTCATGCTGCCAGACAGATGGCTGGAGAGCGTTGATCAGCCAGCCGCCTTATCAAAAATAACAAAAAAGTTTGGATTTGTGGGACCATGACTTCATTGTTTATGGCACATTTTGATGCTCACATTAACAATATCACAAATATTGAACATAAGGTAATCTGCAAGTTGGATTCATCTATGCAGTCATATACAGTTAGAAAAAATTGTGAATACCCATTATTATAAGCGTTGATATAAATGTACAATTATTTTTTATTTATCTATTTGTTGTCTATATTCTTGTATATATAGTATAAGTTGTTTTAAGCAGTGTGTAGCACAAGTGATCTGTGAAATGGTTGACTTGTCAGACTTCCAACAAGGCCAAATCTTGGGATCCTATTTAGCAGGAGCGTCTGTAACCTTAACAGCCCAATTTGTTGGTGACTTAAAGGGTTAGTTCACCCAAGAAATTAAAATCCTGTCATTAATTACTCACTCTCATGTCTTTCTAAACCCGTAAGACCTCCGTTCATCTTCGGGAACACAAATTAAGATATTTTTTATTAATTTTGAGAGCTCTCTGACCCTCCCATAGACAGCAATGTAATTACCACGATCAAGGTCGAGAAACGTAGCATGGAGATTGGTAAAATAATCCATGTGACATCAGGGCTTCAACCGTAATTTTACAAAGCTACGAGAATACTTTTTATACGCAAAGAAAACAAAAATAACGACTTTATACAACAATTCGTCTCCTCCGCGTCACCCTAGCGCCATTTTGGAGAATATCCACTGAACGCAAACATCATGTGCTGTTCTGTGTCAACCGAAACCACACGGATACATTGTTTTAATTCAAATCAAAGCGTAAATAAACATAGAAAACGTATCCACGTGACGCAGCTGACACAGAACAGCATACGCTGTTTACATTCAGTGGATACTCTCCAAAATGGCACCAGGCTGACACGGAGGAGACGAATTGTTGAATAAAGTCATTATTTTTGTTTTCTTTGAGTACAAAAAGTATTCTCGTAGCTTCGTAAAATTAAAGTTGAACCCCTGAGGTCACATGGATTATTTTACCGATCTCCTTGCTACGTTTCTGGAGCTTGATCATGTTATTTACATTGCTGTCTATGGTAGGGTCAGAGAGCTGTCAGAATTAATAAAAAATATCTTAATTTGTGTTCCGAAGATTAAAAAAAGGTCTTACGGGTTTGGAACGACATGAGGGTGAGTAATTAATGACAGAATTTTCATTTTTGGGTGAACTAACCCTTTAAGAACAAGTCTTTATGGTTATGATCGCATCCACAAAGTACGGCAAGACATCGGTGAAGACGAATAATGGGCGAAAACTGAAAGTGTATGAAAGGGACGATCAAACACTAAGAAGGACTGTGTGCAAACAACACAATATTACCACAGCAAAGTGACAGCAAACCTCAATATTTATCCTTAATGACTCTGTTTCCATGAAAACCAACCATAGAGATCTTCACAAAGCCAACATCCATGAAAGAGCTGCAGCTGCTAAAGCTTTTATCACAGACACCAATGCTAAAACTAGAAGCATATTATGTCATGATCATAAAACCTGGACAGTTGGAGCACCAAAATGAACTTGAACTTGCTTGAATATTATCAAACCACTTTGTACGGTTTTGGAGAGAAGGGTGAGATGTAGATTCCTTCCTCCAACTGGCAGATGTTTTTATGGACTTTAATAAATATTGCCATTTCTCAGGTGTTCGCATTATTTTGTCCAGCCCCTGTAGCTACAGTACTTAGCATTCTGGTTCACATCAAAATGTAAGAAAAGCACACTTAGCGCTGATTTCATAAGCCTGAGTTTTGAAGTCCTGCTCCAGAGATGTTCTATATCCCTAAAATAATATAGTGAGAGGTTTAGAATCAAACAGCCAATCATAAACTGCCTCAGTACTTACTTCATTAACGCACTTTGTACAACTGTAACAACTTTCTAGCACTTAGTCTTAATTCATTAATAACTGGAGTCATAAAAACATGAGTATTTTTGCTGTATGTTTCAGGACACTTCTGGACTCACTAGAGCGAATCTACATGGTGACATTTCCACAGATCATTTAAAATTATTAAGCAGGTCACATGACGTCTTAAAAGGAACACTCTACTATTTTTGAAAATAGGCTCATTTTCCTACTCCCCTAGAGTTAAACAGTTGAGTTTGACCATTTTCGAATCCATTCAGCCGATCTCCGGGTCTGGCGGTAGCACTTTTAGCTGTAGCTTAGCATAGATCATTGAATCTGATTAGACCGTTAGCATCTCGCTCAAAAATGACCAAAGAGTTTCTATATTTTTCCTATTTAAAACTTGAATCTTCTGTAGTTACATCGTGTACTAAGACCGACGGAAAATGAAGAGTTGTGATTTTCTAGGCCGATATGGCTAGAAACTATACTCTCATTCCGGTGTAATAATCAAGTAACTTTGCTGCCGTACCATGGGTGCAGCAGGCGCAATGATATTACGCAGCGCCTGAAAATACGCTAAATTCCGTCAACATAACCAACCTGACGTGACCACCTGCTTGCACAGGGAGCGTGCTGGGGACTATTTTCAGGCGCTGCGTAATATCATTGCGCCTGCTGCACCCATGGTACGGCAGCAAAGTTCCTTGATTATTACGCCGGAATGAGAGTATAGTTCCTAGCCATATCGGCCTAGAAAATCGCAACTTTTCATTTTCTGTCGGTCTTAGTACACGATGTAACTACAGAAGAGTCAAGTTTTAAATAGGAAAAATATCGAAACTCTTTGGTCATTTTTGAGCGAGATGCTAATGGTCTAATCAGATTCAATGATCTATGCTAAGCTACAGCTAAAAGGGCTACCACCAGACCCGGAGATCGGCTGAATGGATTCGAAAACGGTCAAACTCAACTGTTTAACTCTAGGGGAGTTGGAAAATGAGCCTATTTTCAAAAATAGTAGAGTGTTCCTTTAAATATGCAAATAAGTAGGGTTTACAAATTTACACTGTTAAATCTTGAAACTTCACTGCTCATGGTTAATGACTGACCCAAGAATATATTAAATGTGTGACAAGACACAAACCAGTCAAGATAACCCAGGATCCTAGTAAAGAATAAATTTAAGGTTAAGAATTTTACTTGTGAAAAGACCATGTGTATATTGAGTAGAGTAAAGCCACAATACAAGAGTGACCTCTAGTGGTTACAACATATGTTCACATAATACATAACACAATTAAATTTGTCCCTCTAATAGTTACGTTTTTTTCCTTGATATGATAAAATATTTAATTTGACATAAACTGAATAAATCACAAATTAGTTGCATAAATAAATAGATTCTTTATTTTTAACAGGAAAAGGCCAGTGACTAAAACCACGGTGTCGTCCAAAATTATGTCACAGTAACAGAGCACGAACCATCCACAGACAGAAGACAGACATGCACCAACAATCTGAGCATTTCAATGGGACATCGACAACAATCATTTAATATCTGGATCGAAAGTTCGGCTTTGTGTTTATCGTGGATTCTCGGGTAAGAAATATTCAAATTGCATCATAGTTTTATCGGTAAAATACACCGGTAAGTGAAACGCGGCCGAATAGCCAACGCGTTTCTAATGAATACTCTATCGATCTAGACTTTATAAAACGGCAATTGCTTGCTCAGCGTTATCATCAATATGCTCAAAACATTTGCAGCGACTAACAAATTTGCTTGTGCACGACTGTTGTAGTATTTTGTTACATCACGCTTTCCGTCATGCCTAGTCCGACGAGTTTGATTCTTTTCCGCGAATCGATTCTTTCGATCAGTTCATTTCAATGAACCGGACCAAAACATTTCAGTAGTTCTTTTACATCATGTAACAGTCTTTAACCTAGCGACTACACATTCCATACTTTAAAACGTTCCAATACATCCATATGCTGCTGTTTATTACGGATTTTTAGTTCAGTTTGTTGCAGCCATGATTCAGTTCTTAATTAAACGAGTCATTAAAACCGAAACATAATTTGCATTCATATAAAAAATCTATCTAAAAACGGTATTTTACTGCTATAATATAAATACTACAAAAATGTATTTTAAAATGATTAAAAAGGTACTTTAACCCACTATAAGTAGTCTCCCAAATGCATAAATGTAAATACTAACTCTCTTTCGAATATGTATATTAAAATGTCTTACAATCAAAAAATAAACATTCCAGTACGTTTATTTTCTGCTACTCACTTTTCGCGCCGTCACTCCAATCTCTATCGTGCAACTTGCACGCTTAACAAGCGTCGACTCAATAGAAAAGATCCGACTCACTGAACGATTCGTTCACGAATTGGAATCGGACAATGTCGAGTGACGTCATATTCAAACGCCATCTGTGTGTCTGTTTTGCTAGCATGCAACAGCTAACAGTAGACGCGTTTTCACAATAGTTTTTTGAGTTTCACTCAGCAAAGATGGTGCTAGAAAGGGTCGTTTTATGATAATAGGGCGCTACATGCGTCGACACACGAATGTTAACTATGTCAGACCAGGAGCGTCTCCAAAGTAAGTTCATATTTGAATTGTGAGATTTGCTTTTGCTGCTGACTGTATTGAAATACAAAACAACATGATAATATTATAATAATATTATTCTAAAACAATTATAGAGGATTTTAACAGACTAAATTAAGTTTCATTTTACGGTATTTACGGAAACATTCTGATGTAGTTAATCATGTATATTTATTTTTCATATTTAATAATGTAACTACTCATTTCCTTATTTCCATGCTTAGTTTCTATTTAAATCATGTTATTTTTTGGGGGGAAATAGTTGCATAAATACATTTATAAACACTAACAGATCGTTCCAATGATTGTACCATATTTCAGTTAACTACAGTTAGTGTTTTCTGAATCCTGGAAAATATTTCAAAGATTTTGCTCTGTGGTGTTATTTATCTTTCCTCTTGCAGTCACCCCATGTTTGGCCGTTACCTGAGCACAGTGGGCTTTCCGCCAGCTCAGACCGTTTACTACCACTGGAGACACTGGTATCAGCCTGGTCATTTATGGTCGACATATCCATCCCACCTGCAGCATCCCTCGTCCTCCTTCAGCACTGTCAGACACCCCTCCTGTAGGCCCCCAAGACCTCCAAATCCATACAACTGGAGCTCCTGGAGGCAAACTGGAATACTGCCACACGCTCAACCCAGACGAGGCCTTCAGCTTTCTGCAGGTCTGATGGACCACTGTAATAGCGAGCCACCACAGAAAAGAAAGAGGAGCACAGACGGGAGCCAAGCAGGGGATAAATCTCAGCGCTCACCCGAACGTTCGCCTCCAAAAGGCAGCAGGAGTCCAAAAGGAAGTCATGAATGGCTACGCAATGTAACCGGCGCTCCAGTTCCTCCTGGAAAATTTCCATCAGACCCAAACAAGTCTCCATCCACACCAGGTGAATGATTTAAACTTGAATTTTAATTTAAATTGATGTATTGTTATTGTTGCTAATGTAGTTGTCCATAAAAAGCCCAATCTTTTACCTCAACAGAGTTAAAGAGACATTGGGAGGATCTTTCTCACCTCTGTAATGCTGCACCGTCTATGAATGGAGGGAGACAAAAATGGCCATTTGACTTTTCTGTGATGTCCTACAATATCCTCTCACAAGATCTGCTCTGTGATAACACGTACCTTTACAGACACTGTCATCCTCCAATTCTGAATTGGTGCCATAGGTATCCAAACATCATCAAAGAGCTGGAACAGCACAGTGCTGATGTAAGTGAATGATCCATTTGTGAATGAATAGCAGAACAATGTTCATTTTATGTTTATGTTCTTTATCTGTTATGCTCAGTGGGCAGGAGTAGATGATTTCCTTAAATATCTGCAATAACTTTTTCTCTATAGATAATGTGCCTGCAGGAGGTGCAAGAGGACCACTATAAGCAACAAATCAAACCCTCACTAGAATCTTTAGGTACTTTACTTCCTTGATGTCTCGGTGTATATTTAGTTTTGTTGAGGACTTTAGATGTTGTATATTATTCTGAATATTTTCTTGGCATGTACACTACTGTATAAAAGTCTTTTTTTTTTATTGGATAAAAAAATTTTGTGTTTGTGTAATATTGTGAAATTTTATCAGTTTAAAATCATTTCTATTTTAATATACTTGAAAGTGTAATTGAACCCATTTCCTATTGATCGATGTTAAACTTTTGTGCTGCCTAATATATACCGTGATTAATTTTTTCAGGAATTTTTGATGAATAGAATATTCAAAAAACAACAGCAAGCATGTATTTAAAATATTTTTTTAACAATGTAAAAGCGTGTCACTTAACTGCCACTTAATCATTTCAATGCATTCCTGCTGAATAAAAGCAATGATTAATTAGAAAAAGAAATATTATGATGTTATTGAAATGGGAAAAAATTAATTACACTGCAAAATAAAGTGGACTTTTGAAACGTACTGTATTTATGAAACAATAAATAGTGATGAATAGAATACTTCATTTTTAATGCTGCAATCCTTGGCCCATAAAACAGGCTACCATTGTGAATACAAACAGAGAACGGGACTGAAGCCTGACGGATGTGCTGTGGTCTTCAAACGCGAGCGCTTCTCTTTGGTCTCCTGTCACCCTGTGGAGTATTTCCGGCATGGCATCCCTCTACTGGACCGTGATAACGTGGGCCTGATTGTGCTGCTCCGGCCCATTGACCCCCATAGCTCCCTCACCAACATCTGTGTGGCCAACACACATTTACTGTACAACCCTAGACGTGGGGACATTAAACTGGCCCAGCTGGCAATGCTGCTGGCAGAGATAAGCCGGGTGGCCCAGTTACCTGACAGCAGCATTTGTCCTGTGGTGCTCTGTGGGGATTTTAACTCCGTTCCCTGGTCTCCCCTGTATCACTTTATTAGGGACCGCAGACTGGAATATGATGACTTGCCTATCGGAAAGGTAGAGAATCCTGCAACATTTCCTCACTCTGATTTTTTTTCGGACACATTTTAAAAGGTATGACTTGTTGATTTTGCAGGTGTCAGGACAGGAGGAGAACCCGAGGGGACAGCGTATTCTAACTGTGCCAATTTGGCCCAGAAGTCTGGGCATCTCTCAGCAGTGCCAGTATGAAAGCCGAACAACAGGTCACCTTTCAGTCCTTATTACATATAATGTAAACAGATAATCATTGCCAAGAACATTTATTAGAACACTGACAGATAAATAACATTATGTTCCACAGTGTGTTGAAATGTTATTTCTTTTGAAGTGATTTTTGCAGTGACTCTTAACTAGTTGGTGTCAGTGTACAAGAGGAGTTGTAGTGCATGTATGATATAATTTGTTCTCAAGTTTACACAATAAGTATCCAGATACTTATTTTTAACTTAATTGTTTTATCATTTAAGCCTTTGGCAAATGCCACTTGCTTTGGTATTTTGTTATTTAATGCAATGTTATGCATACATTTTTAAGTGTGGCTTAAGTGTCAGAATCCTTTTTTTGGGCCATATTATACAGTAATATTGATTTAAACAGAGGCAGTCCCAACCTTAATGGCATTCTGGAATAACTTTAAAGATTTCATTCTAACATTTAGTTTAAATTCTTTTCACAGATTCTGATTTGAGGGATTTAGAGCAAGCAGAACTGGATGGGTAAATATAAATCCATATCTCTACAGGGCCTTGGTTGATTTAGTCATCCCAGTCACGTTGATAAAATTATTACAATATTACATCTTCTTACCCCTAGTTTCTGTATATCTTTTGTGTTCCTCAGCCATTGATGTTTTAAAACCTAACTGACTTGACAGTCAGTGCTGTTGAGCAAATTTAAGGTGAAGAGATTGGACAGCTCAAAGTGAAGTGTCCTATTTAAGTCCTGTGAAGCGTCTTTTCTCAGCGAGTCGATCTTTAAATTCAAACACTAATTATTCTTCTCTCATGTGATCTGTTTGTAGTTTTATCAAGCCCAGCATCGAGCACTGTTTGAAGCTGACCTCTGCATACTCCCACTACCTGAAAGAGAGCGGTCACCCAGAGATCACCACATGCCACTCACGGACAGCCATAACCGTCGATTACATCTTCTACTCTGCAGCTCTGGGGGATGTGATGACTCAAGCAGGTTCGACCATTTCTATTCTCTTTTAAATTCCTTGGAAATGCTCTGAAATTGTTGTTGTGTAATGTAAAATTTAATTTCAAATAGAAAATCAGATTATTTAATTCTACAGCTATTGTGGTTGCTGTCACCGCATTCTTCATCAGAATTGTAGAATTACATCACTTGCTCACCAATGGATCCTCTGCAGTGAATGGGTGCCGTCAGAATGAGTTCAAACAGCTGACTAAAAACAGAATAATCCACATGTCTCCAGTCCCTAACCCTATTTTATGAAGTGAAAAGCTATGTGTTAAAAAAAATCCATAATTTTAACTTTAAAATATACATAAGGCTTCCTCCAGTGAAAAAGTCCGTACCCTGTTGTCCTTTCAGATCAAAATCCAACAGCATATTTGTTTAGATCTTTTTTTGGACTGTTTTTGTTTGTAAACAGTCTCTCCTGATTCTCTCTCTTTGTGCATATTTCTCTCCTGATTCAGACAAATTACTTTTTTACTGGAGAAAGCAATATTATGGATAGAGGGCTTAAATTAAAAGCACACTAATGACAGATTTATTTATTATAAACAAGCAGCTTTTACTTCACATGATGTTAAATGATGAACTGGAGTCGTGTGGATTACTTGTGGATTATTGTGATGTTTTTATCATCTGTTTGAACTCTCATTCTGATGGCATCCATTCACTGCAGAGGATACATTGGTGAGTAAGTGACACAATGATACATTTCTCAAAAAAAACTTGGAATAGCCTGAAAGTGAATACGTTTTCAGCAAATTAATATTTTTGGGTGAACTATTCCTTTAAGGATCCTCAAAGAAGAAGCTGATGCCACTGGACTATCAATGTACATGTTATATCACTGCTCCTGTAATCATGTGACCTCTGATGCTGCAGTTTGCTGCAGTGCAGTACATTCAACTGCAAAATTTCTGCTGCTGCTGGTTACCATGGCACTGTTTTTTTCCCTCGTTTACCCAGAATGCAGTGTGCCACCAGAGAAGGGTCTGCAGCTGCTGGGCAGGTTATCCCTGGTGGAGGAAGATGAACTCCAGAAGGTTAGCGGTCTTCCCAACCAGCACAACTCCTCTGACCACCTGCCACTTTTGACACGTTTCCGTCTGCACCCTCAAGTTGATGGCTGATA